CTTCTGTGCTGCCACCACAGAGTTAACCCTAAATAATTTTTCAATTTCATTAAGTATTCCCTCTTTTTCTTTATTCAAAATCAATGCAAAGTCCTTTGCAACCATCTCCTTCAGATCTCCTTGCAAAGACTCTCCCAGGCCTCTAATTCTTAAGGCATATTCCATTTGTCCATATTGAAGCATAAGAATCTCATTTTCCATTTCTTTTTCCATACTTTCAATTTTCCCCTCCATTATGTCCACTTTTTCAGCTACCTCTTCCACATGGGAGTTCACCTTTTCAAGAACAGAAGCAACACCTTCTAAAGCCAAAACAAAATCTTGTCTCAAGATCTTATTGTTTTCCTCTAAAATCTTTTTCATTTCTGCCCTAATTTGAATTATAACATCTCCCATCATGTCTTGCAAGTCCTTCATAGTTATTAGCTGACCCCCAGAAGAGGGTGAAACTGTTGATTTAGAAGCTGTAGAAATCCCTGGACGCTTTGGAGCCATCTTAAAGAAAAACCTTTAGTCCTTCTTAAAAAATTATAAAAATTCCTTCAAAAATCATAACTCCCTCCAAAGAAGGTCATTATAATAAAAAGAAAAAAGGGAAAAAAAGGAAGAGAAAAAGAATTAAAAAAAAGTTTTACTCCTTCTTAAAAATTACAAAAAATTAAACAGAAAAAAAGTCCTTCAAAAAAGGGTCATTACAATAAAAAAAGGGAGTTCAAAGGAAAAAAAAAGGGAGAAGAAAAAAAAAATAATAATAATTAAATAAAAAAAGTCCGTTCCAAAAAAAATACTTAGAGATACCAAAAACAACCATTCCAATCATAAGGAAATAAAAAGAGAAAGGGAAAGGAAAGAAAGAAAAACACCAAAAAGCCTGCCGGTCAGCATTCTAACTTCCAGAAAAAAAAACACCGAGGAGTTTGCCGATCGCCATTTTACTTTCCCTTTCAACAAAGAAAAAAAATAAAAAGAGAGAATAAAAATAGAAACAAATCTTAAAACTTAAAATCCAAATAAGTCAAAGAAAGCAAAAACTAAATCCTCTACTCAGCTCTGTCCATTTAAAAAAAAAAACTCACCAGTTCTCTTTAAGCACGGAGGTGTTTGCGGCGGCTCGTTTTGTCCCTAAGGACAAAAACAGCTGGGAAGCGGAGACAAGTCTGAACTCCGTGGGAGCACTCCTTTCACCCCCCCCCAAAAAAAAACTTGGGGGGTGCGAAAGAGGCTCTACCACTATTCAGACACTCTCTACCCCCCCCCTTTGCCCGGGAGGGGGATTTTGAACCGCTGAACAGCTGGTGTCTGCTGTTCATAGCGGTTCTTACACTTACCCAGGAGGACGGCTACAAAGTAGCCGCCATCACGCACGCAAAATCCACCGGAAGTCCAACATTTTCTTTGCAGAATGCAAAAACAGAGTAGAGAAACAGGATCATGATGCAAATCTCAAATGCCATTCAATCACACAGCCCTAGGAGTAGTTTGTCCTGAAGAAAATACACAAATTGCAAAACGCAGGTGTATTGCTATATTATTTTGCTGTTTTTTTTCCTCACTTCCCCTTCCCTTTAAAGCTGGGATTTAGAAATCTGTGTATATGCAGACTGACTCACTCTCATTCAGTTTAAATACTTCAAAATGTTGGAAAGAATCAAAGAAATGAGAGCACAGAAAGAATTCAACTTGGCCATTTCATCTGGCACATTAAAATGTAAAATGTAAAATTACTTTAATTTGTGATTCCTTGATGCTCTCCAAGCTTGATTGCTTGCTTACAGACCTTTTATTCTCCTTTATTGAGACCTTTCATTATCCAACTAGGTAACATTAGCATTGTATTTTTAATTTATTAAATTAAATTAGTAAACAAATTTGAATTATAACATCAAAATAGGCTTTATATTGCAGACTTCAAACATTATTTCAACAATTTCTAAAGCTGTCCTATCAGGTGAATCACTGGAACTTCTTTAAAACATAAACATATTGAAGACACAGTTCTAGATTTATCTATTTGAAAGAACCAGAGTCTTCTGAGGGTGAGATTGTAGCCATATAATTTATTTGTTTATTTATCACATTTTGAACTGCCCATTTCTCTCAAAGAGGGACTCTGGAAGGTGTACAATAAAACATCAGAATATAAAAACGGCATATAAAAATTAAAATATTAGGATTAAAATTTCAAAATTATTTTTTTAGAAGGAGGCAAGAATAATTAAGCCCTATTAAAAATTAATTAATAAAGCGAAGGAAGGGCTCTCAGGACACCAACCAGCCTCACGGCTGCAATCATCCTTTGAGCTCCCCACTCGAGGCAACAGAGTCATTTTTTAATATAAATTTAATAAATAAATAAATAAAGTAAGATGGCTGGAAGGGGCTTCAGAGGTCTTCTAGTCCAACTCCCTGCTCAAGGCAAGAGCCTTATACCATCCCAGTCAAATGGCTGTCCAGTCTATTTTTGAAAACATCCAGTAACTTCAGGAGGCAAGATATTCCATTGATTAACAGTTCTTACTGTCAGAAAAATTCTCCTTACATTTAGGTTGGATTTCTCTTTAACCAGCTTCCATCCATTACTTCTTGCCCTGCCCTCAAGTGTTCTAGAGAATAAATTAATCCCCTCTATTTGTGATAGTTCAGTTTACCTCCTGTGTACAGAGCCCTGAATGTAAGATTGCAGTCTGGTAGTACCCTCCCAAACCTAGAGTGCCTCTGCTTTAATTAACAGTCAGTGCAGGTAAGAGGATTTTTGGGAGGTTTGGTCCCAGTATATTGGAGAAGCAGCATAGTGGAGAAAGGGCTACCTTGTGTATTTATTGGCAGAACGGGATTTGAAGAATCAGAAACCTGACACTTGCAGCTCCTAATTGAGAACATACACCAATTTAACAAGCCAAAATATAGATGAAATTTTCTGGTTTTGCAACTCAGACCCCTCTTTCTTGCCATGATGTCAGTCTAAATAAGTCCTGAAGTCTTCTACTAACCAGAGATTCCCAGTTTCTCCTAACAGAGAAATTATGTTTAACATCTTTGAATACAGAGCCAAAGTATACTATAAAATACCTATTTTATCCTTTTAAGTAACAAATATAAATTATGTCAAATTCCGTATATTGTTTAATACACAAACTTGTCCAAACAGGAAGACAAATGTTACATTTATAAAGGAATATCCATAGCCCCGTAGAAGTTCTGCAAAATGGGCAAGAAGGAAAGTTTAAGGCTTCCCTATGTAAAAATAATATTTCCTTCCATATACAGTACTGGTATTGGGAAAAGGTACTGTATCTTTATTGCGCAACAGGAATTACAGGCATTACTCGACTTATGAACATGTCGGTGCGGAGAATTCTGTTGTAAATCATGATGGCACCCACATGATGACCTGGTTTTACAACTTTTTTGTGATGGTTGTTAAGCGAACACATGGACTTTAAGTCAACGTGGTGGTTGTTAAGTGAATCCATGCATTCCTATGGGTGCTTTTTGCTAGAAACCAGCCAAAAAGGCTCAAAACTGGCAAAAAATATCATGAATCGAAGTCAATGACCACAGAACACTGCAGCCAGCCATAAAGGTGAGCCAGTTGTCAAGTATCCAAAATGCAGCCATATGATTCTGGGTGAGTATACAGCCATTAGAAGTCCAGAACCAGGCCATAAGTAGCTTTTAGGGGGGTCCATCATAACTGTCACTGAGCAACAAGTGAGGACTACCTATATAGCAGCTTTCCTTAATCTGAAATGCTTGATATCTTGGATCTTAACTGCTAGAATGTCTGGCAACAGATGCCACTTGGAAAGGCTACATTAGGCGAGACAGGTGTGTGAGGAGAGGTGGTTTGTTTCCCTAACTCAAAGCTACACAGTAGTAACCAATCTGAGGCTTAACTTCCCTTGGAAAGAGGAAGAGATAAGGAAACTGAGATAACAGGAAAGATCATTCTGATACCAAATATGGTAGCATATAGTAAACCAGTGTTTCTCAATATTGGCCATTTTAAGATACCTGGACTTCAACTCCCAGAATTCTTCAGACAGCATACTGGCTGAGGAATTCTGGGAGTTGGCCCACACATCTTAAAAGTTACCAAGTTTGAAAACCCTGTAGTAAATTATGTTCATTCACCATCTGTGAACACTAAAAAGGTCAGGAGTTAAGGTTTTATTAGGAAGAACTATATAAGCCAATGTTTCTCAACCTTAACAACCTTTAGATATGTGAACTTCAACTCCCAGAATTCCCCAGACAGCATATTGGCTGAGGAATTCTAGAAGTTAAAGTCTACACATCTTTAAGTTGTGGAGTTGAGAAACAGTGACCTAACCTTTAGAACAGCGCTGGGCCTCCACATCTTGATTAGCAGCCTCCTCTCAGGCAATTCTCAAGTTTTAAAACTTCGGTGGGTTGAGGCAAAAGGCTGTTACAGCATTACCAGATGGTTTTCTCCGTGAATCATGCAGCTGACTTCTCCGCTTGGCCTCCCACCTCTCTTGCGGGCCATGTCGTTTTTCTATCCCTCCCTTCAAATCGTAAAATATATATATCGGGAGCAGGACAAATGGACAAATGAATGCAAACGTGCAAGCAAGAATCCGCAGGCAGCTTTCTTTGTTTGGCCTGAAAGTGCGGACTCTTTCTTTTTGCAAAGGGAACGCGCTCGTCGTTTTCGTGGCAAGCGCGCCTTTGTCTCCCCTCAGACTGTAAAAAAGGGTCTTCGTATCTTTTTTGGGGGGGGGCTCCCTGAATGATCAATTCGCGAGGCACTCATTGCCCAATTTGTCTGCAGCGCTTGCTAAACCTACTTCGAAATGCATTATCTCGTTTTGAAAAGTAGAGGGGGAAGAGGGAGCTCGTAAGGAAGTCACAATTATCCTGGGCTCGGATTACTGCAAATTCCATTATGCTGAGAAACCGGAGGGGAGAAAATGCCCCGTGAAAATGCGGATTGCTTTGCTAATAACTCTGCGCAGTTAAAAAAAAAAAAAAGACTGCTCTGTCTGCGGCTCCGGTCTCTAATTTCTGCTTGCCGAGATAGTTTTCCCTCTTCCCATTTGTAATTTGCCGGGAAGGTGGGGGGACGTAATGCTGGAAGAGGAAGATGCCTGTTTTACCTTAAGAAATCGTTCGATGCTGAGCCGAGCTAAACTGAGCCGAGCCGTCGGTGCGATCCGGGGTTCTTCTCTATTGTTGAATAGATCTATGGCGTCTGCTCAAGAAATGTAGAAGTCACTTATTTTTGCTTCTGTGTTCCCTCGCATTGTTCAGATGTATTCCGAATAGAATAAAAGAAACGCTGTATTTAACGGAGAATGTTCAATTTGGGGGGTGGGGTACGATTGCTTCTTCTATGTACCCCTGGAAAGGTTGACACTCGAGAAGATTTTTTTTTCTTGAACTCGACAGTGGTCACCAGAGCAGGACCTGGGGCAAAAGTCAAGGCTGTCACCCAGGAGAGGAGGCGGTGAAAGCCACATAACTGCCCTCTCTCATGTTAAAGTAAGTGAAATCAAACGCATTCCTATCTAAAGTAGGGGGGCAAAAGGGTTGCCCTAACAGCCGTAGGCAGTTTGACAAAACATCCCTTGTTGGATTGGTTGGGGGCAAAAAAGAGGCCCCTTTGGGGGGGCTGTTCTGAGGGGCAACACCCTAAAATTCTTCAAACCTTCTCCCAACTAGGGTCTGGCCCTGCCCACTTAGGGCATGTGACTCTTGACTGGGTTTATGGAAAACCTTTTGTTTCTACGCAATCTTTGTGTTTGGAAAGGAGCTCAACTGTCCCCAGGGTGAATTAAAAGGTAAAATGAGGTGATCTAAGGTAACCGGGGTTTCTAGAAATGGTAGTGGGGATCAGCGTTTTGATTTCTGAACACTTTGCTTTTCTCAGAATGGTATATATATGCAGTCCACTTTCCTTTAAACCAGTGTTTCCCAACCAGGACATACTGGCTGGGAATTCTGGAAGTTAAAGTCTACACATCTTTAAGTTGTGGAGTTGAGAAACAGTGACCTAACCTTTAGAACAGCGCTGGGCCTCCACATCTTGATTAGCAGCCTCCTCTCAGGCAATTCTCAAGTTTTAAAACTTCGGTGGGTTGAGGCAAAAGGCTGTTACAGCATTACCAGATGGTTTTCTCCGTGAATCATGCAGCTGACTTCTCCGCTTGGCCTCCCACCTCTCTTGCGGGCCATGTCGTTTTTCTATCCCTCCCTTCAAATCGTAAAATATATATATCGGGAGCAGGACAAATGGACAAATGAATGCAAACGTGCAAGCAAGAATCCGCAGGCAGCTTTCTTTGTTTGGCCTGAAAGTGCGGACTCTTTCTTTTTGCAAAGGGAACGCGCTCGTCGTTTTCGTGGCAAGCGCGCCTTTGTCTCCCCTCAGACTGTAAAAAAGGGTCTTCGTATCTTTTTTGGGGGGGGGCTCCCTGAATGATCAATTCGCGAGGCACTCATTGCCCAATTTGTCTGCAGCGCTTGCTAAACCTAATTCGAAATGCATTATCTCGTTTTGAAAAGTAGAGGGGGAAGAGGGAGCTCGTAAGGAAGTCACAATTATCCTGGGCTCGGATTACTGCAAATTCCATTATGCTGAGAAACCGGAGGGGAGAAAATGCCCCGTGAAAATGCGGATTGCTTTGCTAATAACTATGCGCAGTTAAAAAAAAAAAAAAGACTGCTCTGTCTGCGGCTCCGGTCTCTAATTTCTGCTTGCCGAGATAGTTTTCCCTCTTCCCATTTGTAATTTGCCGGGAAGGTGGGGGGACGTAATGCTGGAAGAGGAAGATGCCTGTTTTACCTTAAGAAATCGTTCGATGCTGAGCCGAGCTAAACTGAGCCGAGCCGTCGGTGCGATCCGGGGTTCTTCTCTATTGTTGAATAGATCTATGGCGTCTGCTCAAGAAATGTAGAAGTCACTTATTTTTGCTTCTGTGGTCCCTCGCATTGTTCAGATGTATTCCGAATAGAATAAAAGAAACGCTGTATTTAACGGAGAATGTTCAATTTGGGGGGTGGGGTACGATTGCTTCTTCTATGTACCCCTGGAAAGGTTGACACTCGAGAAGATTTTTTTTTCTTGAACTCGACAGTGGTCACCAGAGCAGGACCTGGGGCAAAAGTCAAGGCTGTCACCCAGGAGAGGAGGCGGTGAAAGCCACATAACTGCCCTCTCTCATGTTAAAGTAAGTGAAATCAAACGCATTCCTATCTAAAGTAGGGGGGCAAAAGGGTTGCCCTAACAGCCGTAGGCAGTTTGACAAAACATCCCTTGTTGGATTGGTTGGGGGCAAAAAAGAGGCCCCTTTGGGGGGGCTGTTCTGAGGGGCAACACCCTAAAATTCTTCAAACCTTCTCCCAACTAGGGTCTGGCCCTGCCCACTTAGGGCATGTGACTCTTGACTGGGTTTATGGAAAACCTTTTGTTTCTACGCAATCTTTGTGTTTGGAAAGGAGCTCAACTGTCCCCAGGGTGAATTAAAAGGTAAAATGAGGTGATCTAAGGTAACCGGGGTTTCTAGAAATGGTAGTGGGGATCAGCGTTTTGATTTCTGAACACTTTGCTTTTCTCAGAATGGTATATATATGCAGTCCACTTTCCTTTAAACCAGTGTTTCCCAACCAGGACATACTGGCTGGGAATTCTGGGAGTTGAAGTTCACACATCTTAAAGTTGCCACGGTTGAGAAACATTGATTTAGGCTTTCAGAGCAAAACATGCAGATGTTACATTATACTATAACCCAATCAATCTTTACCAATTAAAAATCTTTCCATTTATTTCAACAAATACAACAAGCAAACCACTTTAGTTTTATTGGAAGAAAACAATAGAATACTCAATACAACAGGTGTATACTATTATTTAAATTTCTACTAACCTTGTTTGCATCCTGCATTAAACCATAGTTTGGTTAATTGTTGCTTGACTAACAATTGGCTGATTTTTTGCAATTTGTTAAGCCATAAACTAGATTTGCAGACTACAGTGTCTGATATGCACAACAGGCTAAGGCCAAACAAAGTTATGTTTACATTTTTATAGACCTATAGACTGTTTGGGAAACGAATGACCTGAAAGATTGCCTTCACTTCCCATTCCTTACTATGAAATTAGTTTCATAGATCATGTTATTATACTTAGGAGTAACTAGGCTAAGGACAGAAAAAAAGACAGTCTTTTGTTATACCCATTGATGTTTGGAGCCAATCTGAAATTTTGGAGGAGAGCTGATGTGTGTGTATGTATGTTATATTAAGGTTTTATGTTGTGTTGTCCTTTGCACATATTTATTTAAATTCAATTAATAAAACCTTTTTGAGTTGGTTAATAACTCCACTTACAGCACATTTTAGGCTCAAAAAGGGTATATTCTAGTCTTGCACAGTGAAAATGTTTTTGTATCCTGAAAGTGCAGTCTAAATTTACATCTATTGTGGCATAGAATGTGTCAAATCAACCACCATTCTTCTATTTCAAGTTTCTAAAACACAAGGGAAAAACTAAGGCCCAAAAGTTGCTCAACAACTCTCAATCTGTATGTTTACTTTCTTTCCCCTTCACTTGAGCTGAATCATTCGGTGTGGAGGAAAAGGAAGCAAAAGGAAGAAAATACAATGAAACTTATTCCCAAGAAACTGTACTTAGAATGGTAACCTACCAAGCCTAATCAGCTCATATCAGATCTTCTGTCGTAATGTTAAAATTGCAGCCCTGTGTAATAACATGCTTTTATAGAAGAGAAGCAGAGGCCAAAAAAAGACTTTTATGCCCAAGGCAATCAATGAGCAAATGGATTAGGTTCAAACAGCTTGACAGAACTTGAAACGAAGTTGCTTAGGCTTTGTGTATGCAGGGTCAAAATACATGGATGTGGCTAAGACAAGCAGATAGCATAAAATAGCTCCACCAAATTGGAACCAAATTGTGTTAACAATAGATTAGTCTTTGAGAATACAAAAATCAGTCCTCATTGCTCTAGAATCAAGCTTCCTATTACTCCTGAACTCCATAATCAAGGGATTATACAACCTTAACCTATTAGTTGGAAAATCTGCTATTTCCTGCTTAGAATTTCTCTCTAGCCTAAATTCATCTTGCATCATCTGGTCAAGATATAGAGATATTTATCTTTTCTTGGTATATTTTAGAAACAAGCCTCCCACTGTTCACCATTCATTTAAACAGGTATGGGGAAATCATGTCCTTCTCTATATATGCATTCCATAATTAAGGTATTACTGTGTCTGCAGATACAATTATTTCAAATTATAATTAGGATTGTTATCTAGTGTAAATAAATATTAGTTACTTAATGAACCATTGTAGGTCCACTGGCAGCTGTAGAAAACAGTATTCGTGGCTCTTTGGTCCAATTCAAAATACCTGTTTCCATGATTACTTAAATGTCTAGACATATACTAGTAAAAACAATTGTTAAGGAAAAAAGTCTTCTTTGTTTTTAGAAACTTTGTGTATGTTTTATAAAAATGCATCCTCCTATTAGGAAGCATCCCATTTAAGAAAAAGAGTGTGACTCTTACAAGATGATACATGCCATCTGTAGTTTTTTTTATGAAAATCAGTGTTTTCAGCACAAAAAAATTGGATGCTTAATCAAGATATTTTTTAAATATAAAATCATTTCAATCAATTAAACTAACAGATTAAACTAGATTGCTATCTTGGTTATGCCTTCTTTAAAAACTACTTGTTTTGGAATTCCTCAATATTTTTGATGCTACATCCTAATTTTGACTACAGTCATACCGGTATGTATTTTGGGGATTAATGTTTATTGAATTTAATGGATTTTTCTTCCAAATATATTTGCATAGCAAATTTTTAAGAAGAATTTTTTTAAGTTTTTAAGAAGAAACTGGACAGCCATTTGTCCGAAATGGTATAGGGTTTCCTGCCTGAGCAGAGGGTTGGACTAGATGACCTCCAAGGTCCCTTGCAACTTTATCATCATCATCATCATTATTATTATTATTATTATTATTATTATTATTATTAAATGTTACAATATACATTTTGTTTGATAAAAACAAAGGATGCAATCTAATATCTATCTGCTTATGAATAAATCCCACTAAATTCAAGAGCATTTACTTCTGAGCTTATGTGTATAGGATTGCACCATCAGTAATGAATTTCAAAACTGATTCTGAGCTAAACAGGAGCCTGGCTACCTAAATCAATACTGAAGGTTTTTACTTAATTGCTCACAGTCTTAAACAGTTTGAAAAGAGATCTCCACCTCTCGATGGCTGGAATCAGTGGGATTTTCTTGGGTTGATATATTCATTCATATTGGTACTTTCATATTCATTCATATGGGTTAATTCTATCTAGAAATGCTTTCATTTGAGGCTTTGGTAGTTTAGAGAGTTTTGTTTCCTTGATTTGGTAGGCAAATAGGAGGAACAAAGAACTGTCTGAACTGTAAAAGTGGGTGCTAAGGGCAGCATATTCCACAGAGGGCACTGTTTTACTGTCTAGCAATATCAATTTAAAGAGTGTGTTTATTTATGTAAATAAATCAATGGTTGAACCCTAAAATTGGTGTACAGTTTTGCTCTCTTGATTATTATTCCCAGGTACAATATAAACAGAATTTTGGTTCCTTTTGTTCAGTGAAGTACTAATGAGTAGTGTTCAATATCAGTTAAATTCATATAAATATTCTAAAACAAAATTGCTTGGCAGAATATGTCAACCTTTGTGATTTGTAATGTGTTTATGGTTTAGAATTTTCTGTGGGTTCAGCCATATGCCAAGACAAGATCATAGTTGTGGATTATACTAAAACCCAACAGATTTTTTTAGGCCCTACCCAGGAATAAAAACTGAGTCCCATATGTTCCAATTGAGAATATACTCACAGAATAGGGTCTTTTCAGTACTGGTGTGTCATTGTGAAATTTTCTCCCTAATTTATTCTCTTCCTGTTTAATCCTAATATAGAAATTACTTTTTGTACTGGCAGGTATATATATTTTTTTCTTCAGCTATCTTCTTGAATGTTGATATTGGTATATATTTGATTTTGGGGGGAAAACTTTAAAGAACAGGATATAATTATATAATTGCAATTATATAATTATAATTACAATGAGCAAATGGTAAAACTTGGGCAATGAAAAGGTATTGCAATGATCTGTTGGATAACTTGGGTGAAGGGTGGACAGAAATCAAAATAATACATGCTTAGTTGTAAACTCCTAATGTTGATGGTTGTAAAAGGAAAAAAAAAGGTGTCAGGATACTGCTTGAGTGCTTTTCTGGCAGCAGAGAGGAGAGCTATTCATGTGGAGCCTTGAAAAACTGCCCTGAAACAGGATCTGATTCACACATTGCATTAAACCATAATGTGATCTGTTTGGTTTGGGTTTAGTATCTTATATGAACTCAAGCATTTGCTTTATGAATAGAGCTGTCCTGTATTAGAATGTAAGAAATCATCTATTTAGAATTTATTTTGCAAAGTATAATTAAGCAAAATCAAGATTTATCACATGTGAACTCAGTGTCTTATGGCAGTCTGACAAGTTGGTACCTCATCATGTCTCTGGAATTAGTGCTCATGTCCCCACCCCCAAATTAAGAATGAAATAATGCAGTCTGGCAGAACTGGAAACAAGGCACTGGGCCCTCTTTAACATCCTTTCATGCAGATGTACTTAAAATCAATATATCTATCCCTATACCCTGCAGCTAAAATATCTAAACCTGCAATTATCTGGAAATAAGACAACTCAAAATTAATGAGGCTTATTTCTGCATCGATATAGACTTGTGTGATAACGCAACCAACTTGAAAATTACTCTGCACATGCTCAGTCCAGTCTGGAATATTACCCTCACCTTTTCCAAGTAATGTGTGTTAACCAGTTTGTAGATCCTAGTATCGCAGATCTGCTTGCTTTACTATGGGCAGGAGCTAGAGTTCAAAATACTGAATGGGGAGGAGGGATAAAATGAAGCCCCCCCCTCAGAAAAGGGGAAAGTTATAACTTTGCTGTGATTAAATAAAGGGTTTAGAATAACAACAAACAGTTTTGAGATATTTAAAAACTTTCTCTATCTCCTCCCCCAAGCCCAAGTCTCCACATCTTGAAGTAATCAGCAGCTGAGAAGAGTGCGTCCCCTTGGCATCTCAGGTTAAAGGAGGTCCAGGAAAATGTGGTGGAGCCATTACAAGAAACCTGAGAGGCATTCATCAGGGACTCCAATTGCCATCGCATTAGGATTGATTGGAGAGCAGCAATACCGTAATGACCCGGAAAGAAGGGCAACCTAGTGCCTTTCCTTTCGCAGCTTCTTCTGGTGCCCCCCCCCCTTTCTCGTTCTTTTTTTTTCCCCTCAAAGGAGCGTTTTATGTTACCCACATGGCTCTTTTCTTGTGGAAATTTGCTTGGAGAGAAGAAAAGATTGGTATAAAGCACTATTATTATCATGAGTTGCAGGGTTTTTTGAGGATATCTTTTTAAAATTCCTATGGGGATAATATAGTAGTGCAAGTATAAATGAATGGAGCTGGGGAATGAATCAAAGGGGAGGTGATGGTAAGATTAACTGCCTGCTGAAGTTGCCCAACATGCCCAAACTACTTTGCCTTAGTACCTTAGGTGATTTCCAGTCCAAGTGCGGTGGCCTTGTGGGTCAGTGTATGCTATGAATGGAGAATGAAGCCCATAAGTGAGTAAGTGTGCCTTAAGAATACAACTTGGTAGGTTCAAGAGCTCTAAATTATAGTTGCTGACATAAATCGTGTTCATGTTTGGGAAGCCCCATTGAGTGCTATAACTATAGCTTGTAGAAAGGAAAACTTGTATAGAATAAAACATGCATAGGAGTGACTGATGCCAGGCACCCAATTCTGGGACCCTCAGCGTGGAATAAATAAAAAATAAAATAAAATTACTTTTTTTTCTTTTTAAAAAGGCTTGGTATAGTCCAAGCTGAGAACCAGGCAGAAAATGAAAGCAACTTTTTAAATGAGTCATTTGATCAATTGGTCCGGGTGTTATTCCTCCTGCTCTAGTTTTGGTCCTGCAGCCCTTTCCTATATACCTGGATCAGGGGCAGCTTGGACTTTCTGAGTAAGGGCCACCGAGATAAATCTGTCAGTTCAAGGTTTTTGAAATCCTGGGCTTAGCACCCCGAATCAATTTCTTTAGCAAGAAGCATCCGCTGAATCTGAAGGGAGCCCGGCGGAATAAAACCTAACAGCACCGGCGTGGCTGGGTCTCCTGGAGAGTAAGCTCCTCTTGAAATTTACCTCCAAGAGAGTTCCTTCCCGGCAGAGGTGCAGCGAAGAAGGTACACGTGTGCACCTGCGCGGCTCGGGCCCCTTGCCTGAAAAGCGAACGGCGGCACATTCCCCCTACCCCCACCCCGGATTGCCTGGAGCTTCCACCGCCGCTTCGTTCCCACCCCAGGCGAGAGTCACTATTCGGTAAATCTCCTTTTCCAGGGTGCCAGCCGGGACTTCCCCGCTGCTTCACTCACCCTGGCTCTCAGAAAAAATAAAATAACAGGTCCAAGGTTTTTAACACCCCTGTTTAAGAATGCATGTATGTTAAAGCTTCGTTTCTCCCCCGTCCCCTCCACAGCCCTCTTTTTTTCTGCGCCCTCCTCAACGGCTGGAGCGAAGGGGGAGAACTAAGGGGCGGCGGCCGCCGGCAGGGGCGCTGAGGGGGTGGAAGCGGAGAGGAACCTGGATAAACAGAGCAGCTGCAGCTTCGCTCGGCGCTTTGCGCCAAAACAAACCGGCCCCTCCTGGTCTGGCTTTAACTGCCGCTCACCGGGTAATGAACTCCATCTTTCCAAGGCGAACTTAACTGTTTATTTAGTGTCACCCCACATTACCGTCACTGGCACTTTCCTCTGAACAGAAGGAACTGGAGGCTTTCTCCTCCAAAAAGGAAATTCTTTCTCGCTTAGACAGACTTCAGCATCCAGAAAGGACCGACCAGGCGAGCGGGGGAGGGAGGGAGGCCCTGGGTCCTCTGTTTACCAAGCAGCTAGCGGCAAACGGCGTAAGGAAAAAGAAAGGCGGGCAGAGGGCACAACGGCACGTGTGGACTGCCTCGGTTGCAACTCGCGTCCCCTTTTCGGAGCCCTCTGTCAGCCGGTTCCGAAGGGCGGCCTCGTTACGACTCGCCCGAGGTCCACGCCACTTTAGGCCGCAGCCCGACCGGCGTCGCTCCCCGGAAGTGGATGCATGCGCCTTATTTCGGCATTAACGTGCCGGGCCTGCTGCGGGACACGCTTTGAAGCCCTGTCAGGGACGGGAACCGGACAGCGTGTCTTTGCTGGGGACGTTGGGGGGAGAAAGCCGCGTTATGGGGGCAGAAAAGCAGGAATCGGGCCTCAGCTTTTCCGACTACGTACATGTTAAGGAACTGACTCTGATGCTTCTGATAAAGAGCCGCAGGTCGGGAAAGCTTTTGAGCTCATGAAAGTTATGCCTTTCCATAACATTATTCGTGGAAAAGGCGCGACCAGATTCCTGATTCTTTGCTAGGAAGGGCGCCTCAGATGGGGCCTTGGATAAAGATATAATCTGGCAGGCTCACTCTGAGTTAACATTGTTTTCGAAAATTCAGTACACTCCGAAGATTGGCCTTTGGGCTGCAATCCCCTCTGCTCAGGCAGAAAAGAAGCTGCCTCCACTTCAGAAGAATGGGATCCTCCTTATTGACTTACATTGCCCCCTTGCATCACCCAAATTGCATAAAGCCTGCCCTTATGACTGATAGGAGACTATTGTATGGCAGAAACACATTCTAATAACTTTATCTCTCTGCTGTGTCCCCACAATGTGTTAGACTTATACCAAGCTGCCAAGTGAAACAGGTTCAAGTTCTTAGTGTTAAAGGAGTATTTCTGCTTCTTCAGACACCCTCAAAGCTTAGTCATCCACTACCCTAAAAGGAACCAGAAATAACTAGAAATAGGAGTTGATAATGTACAGTAGACACCAGCTCTCATGCTAGTGTCCTTTCTCTGTCAATTGAGTGGAGACCACCAAAAGAGCACTGATGTAGCTGCAGGAGTTTATTCAGCTATATAGTAATGAGGTAAGCCAGTGAGAATCTTCTTACTGATTTAAGCCAGATAAGGAAAGACCTGGAAGATTCTCCCAGTAGGGGATTCCTGCATGGACAAGCATTGCTTATTGGAGGAAAAACAATCACCCACTAAGCTTCCTAACAGTAGAGAGTGGAATTAGGAAAGTGTAGGTGCTTGGGACAGCAGATTTAACAACCTATCAAGTTGCCCAGTTTATAGATCCTGCCAGGATTTGTGAAGAGTGGTGTCAGGCACAAGCAAGAAGATCCAGTCATGAAAGATCAAAGTTAGATACTTTATTGTGTTCTACCTATATTGCAAGAATCTCCCCAGACTGCTTGCCTACCTTTGGGAACAGATGGTTACTAAGGCATGAATCACCCTGAGCAAAGCCTCTTGATCCAGGAATGGATGCAATTGGTCCACAACTGCCATCTGTTCTTCAAGTAGGAGAATTAAGGAGGGTGGCTTAATTACACACTAACTCTGACTACAGAAGTGCATTCCCAGCAGAGTTAAAGATGGAAAATCCTCAATAACCAACAGATACTCAATCTTGCCCAGGTTGGGTCAAAATCTATTCTAAGTGCATAAACAGCCCTGTGGGGTGGGCACACCTATAAATCATATGATCACCTGCAATGGGAGAGAGCAATTTTATTTCAGAAGAGTTTTCCTGAATTGTATAGTGTGCTGTCTTCATCATATGAAAACCAGAAACAGATACCGTGATGACAGTTAACATATTTCTCAGACCTTTTTCATATTCCTGAGTTGAAGAACTTTTGAGTAACAGGACTCCAAAGAAGGCAATACTGGCTCAAAATCTGCTGTCTCCATTGCCATCTTATATTCTGCCTCTGTTGCTTCTGTTTCCAGTTCCTGCTGTCCCTTGACCTCCTTCCAAGGCAGCAGGTGACAAAGCTGAACAGTTTTTGCCCACCTTCAGGTGCCCTTGTGTGGTGGAAAAATACTATTTTAATATAAGCAACAATTAAGAAAACATAAGGATATCTCCCTCATGAGCTGGGATAAGATGAAAACAAGGTCACAAAGATATGGCAGGACAGAGGCATGTTTTAGCATGGTTACATGCAAATGTGGAAATGACCAAATTAATTTTTAATGATACACATAAAAACAGTTTTGATCACATTGTCACAACTTCCATTTTGACTTTTTTTTTAAAGTCAAACCTTAAAAAAACTTGCAACACCCATTTTCTTGAGGCTATGGGCAGATGATTTTGCTGCCAATTGTATCTAGAGGGAAAATAGAGTGCACCCTGTTTTAAAAATTAATTACCTCTATTAATGCTCCAATTGAATTGGTTTAGGAGTTGTACTCTTCTTAAGGGTTATTAAGAGTAGTGATCCAGTAGCACATTGGTGTGGTAGCCAAGAGAGACTGGGAAAGTGGGAAGTCTCCAGGCATCCACAGTGGAGGAAAAGGGAGGCAGGTGATAAACATGAATTATGGTGCTGTGATGCAAACTCTGCCTAGCATGTGATTTCACAATTAACATTACAGATAGTCCTCAAGTACGATCACAATTGAGCCCAAAATTTCTATTGCTAAGCAAAACTTTTTTTAAGTGATTTTAGTAATACAGATGTTAAGTGAATCTGGCTTCCCCCATTGACTTTGCTTGTCAGAAGGTCGCAAAAGGGGATCACATGACCTCAGAACACCAAGCATGTGAATTTTGTTTATGTGATCATAGGAATTCTGCAATGTAAATATGAAATATGGTGCTAAGTCACTTTTTTTCAGTCACTAAACAAACTGTTATAAGTTGAGGACCACCTGTACATCATTTTGGTGTCCCTGAAATAACAGATGCCTGTTTTTATCTCAAGTTCAAACTACACATCTGCCATGGTGTTACTATATTTTTCTCAGCCAATTTTAACTCTCTCAGCTGCAATAGAGAAATCTTGTGTGATAGGCGTAGTATGTGCAAAGTGCCTTGAATATGCAAAATCTTATAGGAGAAATTCCACAATGGCTCTGATTGCCACCATGATCACAGATTGGAAAGGTCACAGTTTACCCTACTCACAATCACATGGACTTCTTGCAGCCCAGTCCCACCCAGCTTCAAGACATATCTTTCACTGATTTTCTTGGGTCCTGGTTTGTTCCTACTTAGATTTCTGTGGAATATCCTTTTACATGCCTTAGTGTGCTTTCTATTCTCTCAGCAATTGATATCCATGTAATCCAAGGATTTGGGTTGAAACTTTTGGTGGGAAGGGAAGATTATGCAGAATGAGTGAATCTGCAAGATGGGCATCCTGAGACCATTTTAATTCAGCTTCCTCAATGAGATGTTCATTTGTGCTGTTGTACAGATCCCATCATCCCCAGTCAATCACT